GTCAGGCAAATTGTCCAAGAGAAAGTCCTAGAGGTTGTCCCACAAGTTTCCCTAGATGTTGTCCTACCTATTGTCCTACCTGTTGTCCTACCTGTTGTCCTACCTGTTGTCCTACCTATTGTCCTACCTGTTGTCCTACCTGTTGTCCTACCTGTTGTCCTACCTGTTGTCCTACCTGTTGTCCTACCTGTTGTCCTACCGGTTGTCCTACCTGTTGTCCTACCTGTTGTCCTACCGGTTGTCCTACCTGTTGTCCTACCTGTTGTCCTACCTGTTGTCCTACCTGTTGTCCTACCTGTTGTCCTACCTGTTGTCCTACCTGTTGTCCTACAGACTGTCACCCAGGTTGAGGGAGTGAGTGACGGTTGTACTTTAAAAGGCTGACGTGGTGACTTGCAATCAATGCTGACAGGTTTTAGGGCTTGTAAGGTTACATAGCAAACAATTTGTTGGTCAGTTGTGATAATCGCCCCCACCCCAGGGGCAGTGGTGTGTCACGGATGACGTGGTGGTATCAGGGGTGTATATAGTGACATGGTGTGACAAAGGTTTGTGCAACACTTAGATAGCTGTCAGCAGTAACATCGACATTGTACTTTGGACAAGCAAAACAAAAGTAACAATTTTTACCAGATGTTTATGGTTTTACAAAGAGAGGTAACCGTAATTATTCCTCATCAAGAACTTGTGTTGACTTCCTCCCCTGTTTTATTAAAATTATTTTCAAATTAAAAAAAAAAAAAGCATAATTTATGTTCAAACATTATGGGAAATGAGCATAGAATATATTAATTGCCGCTTAATAATTAGCTTTGTATTTTTAAAAAAAACTGTCAATTTAAATAAACTAATATGTAGAGTTCACTTCTTGCTGTTGTAGGGGAAAGAACCGCGTAATTATTTTCCTATTTATTATATAGCTGGTTATTTCCCTTGAAAAGGGTCCCTCTTCTTTAGAGAACAAATCTTTATATATTAATATATCAAATTAAGATTTAGTTAGAAATCTCATTTCACTTTGTTATGAATGATTATGAATGATATGAATGATTCAGTCAAATGTAAACATTTTTTTGGCAAAAGAACAACTGACTTTTAAGCAGAGGGTTTTTATTACACAGTATAAATGTATACTTCCATTTCGTCTGACTGTGTTAAAACTGGCGCCGTCGTAAATTACTCTAAATCACAACAACAGATGTCTGGGCAGGAAAGATTACTCTAAACCACAACAACAGAAGTCTGGGCAGGAAAGATTACTCTAAACCACAACAACAGATGTCTGGGCAGGAAAGATTACTCCAAACCACAACAACAGATGTCTGGGCAGGAAAGATTACTCTAAACCACAACAACAGATGTCTGGGCAGGAAAGATTACTCTAAACCACAACAACAGATGTCTGGGCAGGAAAGATTACTCTAAACCACAACAACAGATGTATGGGCAGGAAAGATTACTCTAAACCACAACAACAGAAGTCTGGGCAGGAAAGATTACTCTAAACCACAACAACAGATGTATGGGCAGGAAAGATTACTCTAAACCACAACAACAGATGTCTGGGCAGGAAAGATTACTCTAAACCACAACAACAGATTGGGCAGGAAAGACAGGACCAAAGGATTTAATCAGCCACTACCAATCCCTAGTTTCAACAGGATCTAATGCACACAGCCTGAGATAATGGTATTGTGGAGTCCGGTGATAAACAAATGTGGTACACCGTTAGTGATGGTTCACCCGTCGTTATCGTGGATGTGAAGCTTATCTGATAACGTCGTATGTACAGTAGCGATTCATCACTGCGTTGTATCTCTCCTACTACGTCCTACAAAATAACTTCGTAATATTAACGCTTCTTATAAGGAAGTCTTTCGTAAGATCATTTTTAAAATAAGGTCGTTCTTTAGTCTTTTGTAACATCATCCTTATATTAACATCGTTCTTATCGGAAGCGTCGCGAGGGGGGGGGGGGTGCGGACCGCACCGGGTGACACTATTCAGGGGGGGGGGGGTGACACCAAGACAAAAAAATGCAAGATCTATCGAATAAATGTTTTTTTTTTTTTTTTTTTTTTTGCAAGTTCAATGAATGGTTAATTAGAGCTAAAATGTATTTTAAGTTCATAATGACGATCCCGACAAGGATGGGGTGCGGGGGAGGGGGGGGGGGTGCGGGAGGGGGGGTGGCACCATGACGTAAAAATAATGCTACACCCAGCTGTATTGACAACTGATTATAGATTAACATCATGAGTATTAAATGTGAACACTTTAAAGCTTTTACGGGGAGGGGGGGGGGGACTGCAAAATGTATAGAGAAAAATAAGAGGGGGGTGACACTGTGAGGAGCCTCACCGGGTGACACCCCACCTAGCGACGCCACTGGTTCCTATCATCATCTAATCCCGTCTAGGACGCACGTGACCGTCACAGAAAGGTGTTTCCATTTCTGCTGGTGTCTGGCACCATCTTGTCAGTTCCCCAAGACAAATGTGTTCTGTTATCCGTGCATAGTTCTCCATAGTGTGCTTTAAAATAAGATTTTTTCATATTATTTTCATAGTGAATTGTTTTCCTCAAACATCTTTAAACAAATATAAACTTACTAAAAAAAACAGAAACGATGTAAAAATAAATTCTTTACAATTTTTTTACCAACAGATAGGTGTGAATAATAAAGAGAAGTCAACATATTTATAAAAACAAGTTAACTATGTTATACGTATGAGTTGTCTAATCCAGGGTTCACCAAACTACGGCCCGCGGGAAAAAACGTTTGTTGGTGATGGCTGAGGAACTTTGCCCAGAAAAATAAAAAAATCAAAGACATGCCCGGTAGAAACTGGCCCCCCAACTGAAATTTGATAGTTAATGCGGCCCTCGTTTGTAGACCCCTGGTCTAATCCATTAAAACGTGTGAACGAATTCAGAAATACGTGTGAAATAATTGATAAATGTGAGTTAACTAACTTTAAAATACGTATGAAATAATTCATAAATATGAGTTAATTATTCCTCAGTCGAGGTAACCTAATTATGAAACTGTATTTTGCAAGCAATCCTGATGTCTGGTCAACGTGTAGTCAACCACCACCCCATTAAAGTTTAAATGATCTACAACACAGGTAATTTTGATCTTGCCTAAAAAATATTAGTATGTCCACAAGTAGCGAAGTAGCCACTCAGACTAGAGCAAACAAATAAAAATCATTTTTCGATACTACAAACTTTACAAGTAGATGGATACGGCTAATCAATATAAACTAAAATTTCACTGTCCTGTCCCCTCCCCCCACCCCCACCCCCATAGCCTCTGACCTCCATGACTCACAGTGATTTGCTCGTGTGTGTCTGTGTATGTGTGTGTCCATTTGTGTGTCCGTGCGCGTGTCTCTGTGTTTGTGTGTATTTTATGTGTAAGTGTTCTTGTATGTGTATGTCTGTGTGTGTATGTGTTTGTATATATATATATATATATATATATATATATATATATATATATATATATATATATATATATATATATATATATATATATATATATATATATATGTATATATATATATATATATATGTGTGTGTGTGTGTGTGTGTGTGTGTGTGTGTGTGTGTGTATGTGTGTGTGTAAACACACGTGAAACAGCCGTGTAGAGTAACGCCCCCTGCCGTTCCTCTCTATTGTACTGTAGCCCTTCCCCAGCCTGTCGCTGAGATAACAGAGATAGACGAGGTAAAAAAAAAAGATATCGGTGAGATATCACAGAGATACCTACCGTATCGATTAGCTCAATTGTTTTAGTCACTCATCGAACTGCTGCGATCTAATCACGTTCTAATTACCTGTCAACAACCAGGTATGTTTGGCTTTAATTAGGGTGGCCGCACCTTAATTCTCTGCAGAAATTACCTACCTGGAATTTAAGAGTTGACCCGCCCCTGGGGTCAACCCTGCTCTCTTGTGTAGGCGGAGGATGGAGTGGCGCTTCAGTAGCATGCGATGACCCCACCTGAAAGGATCGAGTTCGGTGCCTGGGTTGGGCTGAGGACCGTTTTTTGGTTGTCACGTCTGGTAGGTACCGGGGGAGCCGGACATTACCCCCCCCCTGTCAAATAACCTTACCCCCAACCCCACCCCCCATCATGTCATATTCTCTACCAATCAAATTTTGAATGACGTCAAGTATTAAAGTTTACATTACGTCATTTGGCAGTGGTCAATCCGTTGTGGTCAATACAAACAGTCAATACAACCAGTCAATACAAACAGTTAATACAAACAGGTCAATCCACAAAACCATTACTCTTATTCCACAATACTGCCACACCTCATACACAATACTGCCACACCTCATACACAATACTGCCACACCTCATACACAATACTGCCACACCTCATACACAATACTGCCACACCTCATACACAATACTGCCACACCTCATACACAATACTGCCACACCTCATACACACAATACTGCCACACCTCATACACACAATACTGCCACACCTCATACACACAATACTGCCACACCTCATACACACAATACTGCCACACCTCATACACACAATACTGCCACACCTCATACACACAATACTGCCACACCTCATACACACAATACTGCCACACCTCATACACACAATACTGCCACACCTCATACACACAATACTGCCACACCTCATACACACAATACTGCCACACCTCATACACACAATACTGCCACACCTCATACACACAATACTGCCACACCTCATACACACAATACTGCCACACCTCATACACACAATACTGCCACACCTCATACACACAATACTGCCACACCTCATACACACAATACTGCCACACCTCATACACACAATACTGCCACACCTCATACACACACTTGTTTTATTAATGCTCTAGCGATAACTTAACAGCGAGGCAACACCTATCAGCGCCGCCCCTGACGCAACCACCTCTACCCACCTCTGACGTCATATCTATCGGGACCAAACCGTTCATCGTCCCGTGATCATTAAGTAGCGCAGACCTCAGGTCGAAACATATCGCCGCATTCACTCAGTACACCAGGATACTCGCCTCTAACCACACACGACAATCATGAAGCTGCTGTTGATTTTCTGCCTTGTTTCTCTGGCGATTTCCAGTTCATTGGGTGAGTTGAAGTGTTTTATGTATTCGTTAGCTGAATGTGACTTCAGTAGCTTGGCTTGATTTAAGGTTAAATAGCCGGTTATGACTTAGCTACAGAAACATGTAATATTTTAAATATCACTTAATAAGTTTTAACTAGCGAAATCGGACTTATGTAGCTAGATATGACTGAACAAGCTGAATATGACTTATCTAGCTAGATATGACTGTATACTGTGCAGTACTTAGTGTCACCTCTCATTTAACCACACATGCTGCTGTCATCGCTCTCCTGGTTATGTTGTTGTCGGTGTGTAGCTGTGTGTTTGTATGTGTGTAGCTGTGTGTTTGTATGTGTGTAGCTGTGTGTGTTGGTAGTTTTGGACAGGGGAGTAGAACTGGCTGTACAAGTAACCAACCAACGATTATAACTGACCCAACTACCCATAGAGGTGACCCAACTACCCATAGAGGTGACCCAACTACCCATAGAGATGACCCAACTACCCATAGAGGTGATACTACTACCTATAGAGATGACCCAACTACCCATAGAGGTGATACTACTACCTATAGAGGTGACCCAACTACCCATAGAGGTGACCCAACTACCCATAGAGGTGACCCAACTACCCATAGAGGTGACCCAACTACCCATAGAGGTGACCCAACTACCCATAGAGATGACCCAACTACCCATAGAGGTGATACTACTACCTATAGAGATGACCCAACTACCCATAGAGGTGATACTACTACCTATAGAGGTGACCCAACTACCCATAGAGGTGACCCAACTACCCATAGAGGTGACCCAACTACCCATAGAGGTGACCCAACTACCAATAGAGGTGACCCAACTACCAATAGAGGTGACCCAACTACCCATAGAGGTGACCCAACTACCCATAGAGGTGACCCAACTACCCATAGAGGTGACCCAACTACCCATAGAGGTGACCCAACTACCCATAGAGGTGACCCAACTACCCATAGAGTTGACCCAACTACCCATAGAGGTGACCCAACTACCCATAGAGGTGACCCAACTACCCATAGAGGTGACCCAACTACCCATAGAGGTGACCCAACTACCCATAGAGATGACCCAACTACCCATAGAGATGACCCAACTACCAATAGAGGTGACCCAACTACCCATAGAGGTGACCCAACTACCCATAGAGGTGACCCAACTACCAATAGAGGTGACCCAACTACCCATATAGGTGACCCAACTACCCATAGAGGTGACCCAACTACCAATAGAGGTGACCCAACTACCAATAGAGGTGACCCAACTACCAATAGAGGTGACCCAACTACCCATAGAGATGACCCAACTACCCATAGAGGTGACCCAACTACCCATAGAGGTGATACTACTACCTATAGATGACCCAACTACCTACACAAGTGACATAACTACCTACCCCAGGTGACAAAACTACCCATACAGGTGACGCAACTACCTACTCAGGTGACACAACTACCCATACAGGTGACACAACTACCCATACAGGTGACACAACTACCTACCCAGGTGACACAACTACAATACAGGTGACACAACTACCCATACAGGTGACACAACTACCTACCCAGGTGACACAACTACCCATACAGGTGACACAACTACCTACCCAGGTGACACAACTACCCATACAGGTGACACAACTACCCATACAGGTGACACAACTACCTACCCAGGTGACACAACTACAATACAGGTGACACAACTACCCATACAGGTGACACAACTACCTACCCAGGTGACACAACTACAATACAGGTGACACAACTACCCATACAGGTGACACAACTACCCATACAGGTGACACAACTACCTACCCAGGTGACACAACTACAATACAGGTGACACAACTACCCATACAGGTGACACAACTACCCATACAGGTGACACAACTACCCATACAGGTGACACAACTACCTACCCAGGTGACACAACTACCTACCCAGGTGACACAACTACCTACCCAGGTGACACAACTACCTACCCAGGTGACACAACTACCTACCCAGGTGACACAACTACCCATACAGGTGACACAACGACCTACCCAGGAGACACAACTACCTACTCAGGTGACCAGAGACGTAGTGTGTATGTGTAAGTAGCGACCCATTCCGGCGCCCGGGGCGGCCGCCCCACCCGCCCTCCCCTAGTTACGCCACTGCATGTGACCAAAGATAAGAGAAAAACGTACACACCATTCCATTTGATATTTATTACTGCTGACACAGTTCAAATATAAACAGTAACAATGAAAGGTGTGTAGAGACTTTATTTACGGCCCCTACTAACGTGTGAACAGTTTTCAACAACACGTTACAACTGTTAGATAGAATAGCGACATTTGTCCTACTTCAGTCGTGAAAACTTTTGGGTTTATGTTTTGTTTTAGCGAGGGAGTATGGTGACCCCTGTAGTTCTAGTATGTGGGTGGTGACTCCCTGTGTTCCCCATCCAACCTCAAGTTCCCCATTCAACCACAAGTTCCCCATCCAACCACAAGCCCCCCCATCCAACCACAAGCCCCCCATCCAACCACAAGCCCCCCCATCCAACCACAAGTTCCCCCATCCAACCACAAGTTCCCCCATCCAACCACAAGCCCCCCATCCAACCACAAGTTCCCCCATCCAACCACAAGTTCCCCCATCCAACCTCAAGTTCCCCATCCAACCACAAGCCCCCCATCCAACCAAAAGTTCCCCCATCCAACCACAAGTTCCCCATCCAACCAGGTTCCCCCATCCAACCACAAGTTCCCCACCCAACCACAAGTTCCCCATCCAACCACAAGTTCCCCACCCAACCACAAGTTCCCCATCCAACCACAAGTTCCCCACCCAACCACAAGTTCCCCATCCAACCACAAGTTCCCCATCCAACCAGGTTCCCCCATCCAACCACAAGTTCCCCCATCCAACCACAAGTTCCCCCATCCAACCACAAGTTCCCCCATCCAACCACAAGTTCCCCACCCAACCACAAGTTCCCCACCCAACCACAAGTTCCCCACCCAACCACAAGTTCCCCACCCAACCACAAGTTCCCCATCCAACCAGGTTCCCCCATCCAACCACAAGTTCCCCCATCCAACCACAAGTTCCCCACCGTTCCACAAGTTCCCCACCGTTCCACAAGTTCCCCATCCAACCAAAAGTTCCCCCACCCAACCACAAGTTCCCCACCGTTCCACAAGTCCCCCATCCAACCACAAGTTCCCCATCCAACCACAAGTTCCCCATCCAACCACAAGTTCCCCCATCCAACCATAAGTTCCCCATCCAACCATCCAACTCACTGAAAAACCGAGGTTCATCATATGGTTTGGTATAGCGTCATTAGATGTGCTGCACTCATTGTTTTGGACCCCCTATATGTCTAGAACTAGTAAATCTTGCATTTTGTTTACTGCCCCGTATCCTGATATAGATGGTACACATTCTTCTTCCTGACCAACTCAAAGTAAACAAAATATCCGTGCAATATCTGGGTAAAAAACCATAGCTAAAACAAAAGCTAAAAATCAAACGACTTTTTAAAACCACTGCAATATAAAACCACTTTCCCAGCTTTCAAAGCGACATCGAACCCATTGATTGGTTTCTATACCCTAACCAAGGTTAAACTTTTGACTAACGGACGTTGATAGCGTTACACAAGTGTGTAAGGGGGTGGGGGTGGAGGGGGGTGACTATTGATAGATATGTCAATGTGAGTCTCGATGTAGAAAACACATCTTGTATGGTACACAGTAGGGGCTGTTACACTGTGTGGTAGATTTATAAGCGTGTATTGCTCTTTTGTAGTTGTAGCATGTGTTGTTTGTAGTGGGTCATGCTACTTTTGATATAAATAGTAGAAGAAACAGTATATATATATATATATATATATATATATATATATATATATATATGTATATACATATGTAATAGTAGATGTAGTATTTGTTAGTAGCAGACGATTGTGTAGAAGCAAGGCGATTGCCAGGCATATATTTCTTTTGTTTTAATTTTCGAAACTAAAAATAAAACAAATATAGAAACGTGTATAATAATAAGCTTTTATAGATCTCTTACATATTTTAGCAACCTGTTTTTTTATTTAAAGCCAGTAAACTACTTTTTTTAGCGTATTTAAAGGCTTATTATTATAAAGGTGTTTTTGTTTTTTACATTTTATTTTCGAAAATAGCAATTTTTAAATACACAATTTTTACTGACTAACCTAATTTCTCATTAGATTGAAAAATAATAATTCTTGCATTGTTATCTGAGATTAAAGTATATGAAATCACTGCATTAGAATTGGGTTAAAGTTGACCTGCAAGATGTGAATAGCCAACAAAAAAAAAACAACAACAAAAAAACAACCATTAAACAGACATCTTTTTTCCGTTTGTGTCCAAGAAGCATAGGGCAGATGAAGTAGAGTTCATTTGTTCATCAAAATAGAGCTTTAAAAAATTGGACTTCTTACATGTACTTATCTATTATACGAGTTTGTATTTTCTATACTGAGCTTGTACTTTTTACACTGTGTTTTCTATCCTGTATTTGTACTTTCTACCCTGGGCTTGTACTTTTGAGTTTGTTTTTTCTACCTGAGTTTGAACTTTCTATTCGAGTTTGTACTTTCTACCCTGTATTTGTACTTTCGACCCTGTATTTGTACTTTCGACCCTGTATTTGTACTTTCGACCCTGTATTTGTACTTTCGACCCTAAGTTTCTACTTTCTACCCTGTGTTTACTTTTGTGTTTGTACTTTCTACCCTATGTTTTTACTTTTGAGTTTGTACTTTCTACCCGACTTTATACTTGCAACCCTGTAGTAACCTATACCTTCAGAGATTTCTATACTTGTGTCGGCTTCTACTGGCTTCTACCACGGCGCCTAACCTCTGTCTACAACTGGAGAAAAGGTTTGAGTAAAGAACCAAGTATCTACACCTGCTAGTGTTGTGACCAATTTCATAACAAAATGTTTAACCCACAGGCGCGGTACTGGTTAATGTCAACGATACTACCACCGCCTCGACTACTACTGTCACCACAACCATACCTACCACCGGAAACTCAACCAACGTCACTACGGTCACCACAACAGCTACCACCAGCAACACAACCGCAACAACAGCTACCACGAGTAACACCACCGCAACAACAGCTACCACGAGTAACACCACCGCAACAACAGCTACCACCAGTAACACGACAGCAACAACAGCTACCACCAGTAACACCACGGCAACAACGGGCACCACCAGTAACACGACAGCATCAACAGGCACCACTAGTAACACAACCGCAACAACAGCTACCACCAGTAACACCACAGCAACCACCCACCCCACCAGCACCGGATCAACAAAGCCGACCACCGAACACACCACCAAAAAATCGTCCGGCTCCGGCTCCAAGTTCGACGTCGGCTCATTCTTCGGCGGCATCGGGTTGGTCGTCGGCATCGTCATCATCGTCGTCATTGGGTACAAATGTTACAAGACACGGAACCAGGAGGGGTACAAGTCGATGTAGGGGTAGGGTACAGGTCTATGTAGGGGTGGGGTACAAGTCTATGTAGGGGTGGGGTACAGGTCTATGTAGGGGTGGGGTACAGGTCTATGTAGGGGTGGGGTACAGGTCTATGTAGTGGAGGGGAACAGGTCTATGTAGGGGAGGGGTACAAGTCTATGTAGGGGTGGGGACTTTTGTGGGGTAAAAGTCTATGTAGCGGTGGGTTACAGGTCTATGTAGGGGTGGGGTACAGGTATATGTAGGGGAGGGGTACATGTCCATTTAGGGAAGCATTTTTTTTTTAATAAATGAGATCGGGGTTGGGCAACTTGATTTTTCCCCAGCGAGGAAGAAGTAATGTAGCCCTACATAATGTAGCCCTACATAATGTAGCCCTACATAATGTAGCTATACATAATGTAGCCCTACATAATGTAGCCCTACATAATATAGCCCTACATAATGTGGCCCTACATAATGTGGCCCTACATAATGTAGCCCTACATAATGTAGCCTTACATAATGCAGCCATACATAAGGTAGCAATACGTAATGTTGCCATACATAATGTAGCCATACGTAAAAATAGCAAGTATCATATCTAGTTTAAAAGAGAGGGATGTGATGAAAGTAGCCTTATAGATTATAGACCGTTTAACTCGGGTGAAGATTTATCTCAACACCTATGGAATAGATTAAAATATTTTCAAAATTGAATCGAATCCCCCCCCCCCCCCCCCCCCCCCGGTGTACATTGGTTATACCTGCCAGTCTAGAATGCCAGTCCTTGGACTAGAGTGCTAGAAGTGTGAACGTGTGAATGAGACTCTAAAAGCGTGGACTAAATGTGCAGTGGACAAATAGTTCCAATGGTAACCTGGAGTGTGATGTGTATCGACATGATTGATGCTTAAATAAAAACAAATGTCAAACACTGTTTCGTCGTTCGTTTTAATAATCTCAATGCAATTTTTTAAAATTAAAATTTTAATTTTTTTTATATTTCTCCTCGAATAAAGCCGCGCCATCCTGGATGTGGCTCAAATACACCAAGCATTACTTCTATCACGTAACGTAGTCCCCATTTCCGGTAAAATCAGTGGTTGGTTAGAATCCATACAACAGAAATTATGATTCACGTATCTATCATCATCATCATTTCTTCCCATTCGTTGCCAGGACACTGGGCAGATGAAGTAGAGTTCGTCTGTTTCAATCACCTAAATATACGAGGTGATTGTGTAGCCAGCATTATACCCAGCCGCCGTTGTTTCCCTAACCTGGGTCAGGTACTCATTAGAGCTGAGTGGACTCAGGGACGTCCTACAGACTCGAGCCCAGAATACGAAACTGAGAGTTTCATGTTAGCTGTCGTGGGCCTGTCCTCTAAGTCGAGTGGAATTTTTTTTTTCGGTGCTAACACTGAAACTCTTGGTCAACTTGACCATCTGTATGACGTTTTACTGGTCAGCTGATTACGATATCGTCTAATATTCACCAAACAAACTCACCAAAAAAACTCACCAAAAAAAAAACTCACCAAAAAAAAACTCATCAAAAATAACTCACCAAAACTAACTCACCGAAATTCTTTAAAGTGTAGCACCTAAAAGTTCAGAGACTAAACCCCATCCCCATAAATTAGCCAACAAGACTAAAGCCCATAACTTACACATCTGTCCACACGACTAAATCCCACACCCCAAACATCTGCCCACACGACTAAATCCCACACCCCATACATTTGCCCACAACACCATGATTTACCCAGAAGAGTAAAGCCCACACCCAACATATTTGCCCACAACACCATAATTTGCCCACAAGACTAAAGCCCACACCCCACACCCATACATTTGCCCACAAGACTAAAGCCCACAGCTCATACATTTGCCCACAAGACTAAAGCCCACAATACCATACATTTGCCCACAATATTTGAGTTTACATCCCATAGATTAGCCCACAAGACTAAAGCCCACAGCCCATAATTTGCTCACAAGACTAAAGCCCACAGCCCATAATTTGCCCACAAGACTAAAGCCCACAATACCATACATTTGCCCACAATATTTGAGTTCATATCCCATAGATTAGCCCACAAGACTAAAGCACACAGCACATACATTTGCCCACAATATTTGAGTTCACAACACATACATTAGCCCAGGAGACCATTCTATAAAACAACAAACTCATGTCCTGGTTGATATAGCATGTTTATTGAACCATATGCCATGAAATGATTCAGTCTACAGCCGAGTGTATACACTATACGTACAGGTGTAAACGTAAAATAGACAAAATTCCGTACACAACGGCTGTAGGTGTGTATGTAAAGTAGACAGCATCATGTAAACATTGGTTGTAGCTGTAAAGCGAACAGCTGTGTAAATTAAACAGCGCAATGTTAACATGACCCGGGTGTAAAGATAAATCTAAATGATAGTTATGAACACACCGTCTATATTAATTAAGGTGACTGTTATTCTGGTATGAAGCTGTTATTTAAAAAAGAGATATTCGTTTCCTAAATGTATAATTTCATCCCAAAATTTACCTTTTTTAAAAAATATTTTTTTATTTATAAATATTAAAATAGATTTAGGTGTTGTTGTTTATTTTATTTTTTTTTCAAATTGATTTTCGATCCTAACTGGCAATGAAATTAGACTGGACTAAACTGTCTTAAAACCCTGGCCAAAACAAAATGGCGTTCAGGGTTTATTAGCGGTCGTGTGAACGGCACCTTAAGGACACGCCAGCGCTGCAAATGAATGGATGATGTCTGCAGCAGCAGACGATGAGGTCTCTCACACTTGGCACGGCCTGAGTCTCCCCCACACACAGGTACCCCCACACACAGGTCCCCCCACACACAGAGATCTGCTTCTCCAGGGGTCGCCGCACAAATCATACACATACACCACCCCGCGTGCTCACACGTCAAACGTCATAGAATGTTTACCATTTTTAAATCAAACCACGCCCCATTTGATCACATGCAAAAAAAATAAAGCCACGCCCATTTGTATCACATCAGCCAAAACAAAACACAAATCACTGTGGAGTTGGTAATTTCCGTGTGACGTCATTGTTCCATCGCTTCCGGTTGTAAGGTGGGCGGTAACGTGGAGGGTTTGCTGGGCGGTCTTTTGTACGATCTGGAGGAGGGGATAGGGAGGAACAGAGGAGAAGAGGGAATAGAGGAACATTTAGTTGACATTTACTTAAAGCTCTAGCAAATACTTTATCTCAAATTTATTAGCGTGCCTAATATATTATACACGATCAAATTACAGACCAATATGAAAATGCACTCTGTTTTGACGGACCAGTCTTAATCTACAAGCCACTGACTGACAAATCTCATACATAAGCTATTGACACACCAATGTGTGCACAAGCTATTGATAACCCAATGTCATCCACAAGCTATTGACACACCAATGTCTACACAAGCTATCGACACACCAATGTCATCCACAAGCTATCGACACACCAATGTCATCTACAAGCTATCGACACACCAATGTCATCCACAAGCTATTGACACACTAATGTCTACACAAGCTATTGACACACCAATGTCTACACAAGCTATTGACACACCAATGTCTACACAAGTTATTGACACACCAATGACATCGTCAAGCTATTGACACACCAATGTCATCCACAAACTATTGACACACCAATGTCATCCACAAGTTATTGACACACCAATGTCTACACAAGTTATTGACACACCAATGTCTACACAAGCTATTGACACACTAATGTCTACACAAGCTATTGACACACCAATGTCTACACAAGCTATCGACACACCAATGTCTACACAAGCTATCGACACACCAATGTCTACACAAACTATTGACACACCAATGACATCCACAAGCTATTGACACACCAATGACATCCACAAGCTATTGACACACCAATGTCTACACAAGCTATTGACACACCAATGTCTACACAAGCTATTGACACACCAATGTCTACACAAGTTATTGACACACCAATGACATCCACAAGCTATTGACACACCAATGTCTACACAAGCTATTGACACACCAATGTCTACACAAGCTATTGACACACCAATGACATCGTCAAGCTATTGACACACCAATGTCATCCACAAGCTATTGACACACCAATGTCATACAAGAGCTATTGACACACCAAGGTTAATCACAAGCTATCGACACACCTTAACCTGCGAGACCTCAAATGATCTAAGTGTATGGAAAACTACTGACCTGTTAGCTCCTTGTGAATGATATAGGCGGTCTCTTTGCGCATGTCCTGTGTACAGAGATAAACAATTTCAAAATACAACAAGACATACACAGGTAGTTATCATACACAGGTAACATACACAGGTAACATACACAGGTAGTTATCATACACAGGTAACATACACAGGTAACATACACAGGTAGTTATCATACGCAGGAAACATACACAGGTAGTTATCATACACAGGTAACATACACAGGTAACATACACAGGTAGTTATCATACACAGGTAACATACACAGGTAACATACACAGGTAGTTATTATACGCAGGAAACATACACAGGTAGTTATCATACACAGGTAACATACACAGGTAACATACACAGGTAGTTATCATACGCAGGAAACATACACAGGTAGTTATCATACACAGGTAACATACACAGGTAACATACACAGGTAGTTATCATACGCAGGAAACATACACAGGTAGTTATCATACACAGGTAACATACACAGGTAACATACACAGGTAGTTATCATACACAGGTAACATACACAGGTAGTTATCATACACAGGTAACATACACAGGTAACATACACAGGTAGTTATCATACGCAGGAAACATACACAGGTAGTTATCATACACAGGTAACATACACAGGTAACATACACAGGTAGTTATCATACACAGGTAACATACACAGGTAACATACACAGGTAGTTATCATACACAGGTAACATACACAGGTAACATACACAGGTAACATACACAGGTTACATACACAGGTAACATACACAGGTAACATACACAGGTAACATACACAGGTAGTTATCATACACAGGTAGTTATCATACACAGGTAGTTATTGTAATCAAGTAACATTCATATATAGTAATCTGGTAACATATACAGAGTTAGGCAATGACATAGGTTGCCTTTATTTCCCAAAAACATTTAACCCCCAGCACAAAATCCGTAAAATGAAAAAAAAATCTTATAAAATTGTACTCGAACTTGTATGAAATACATAACGTATAGAGGTCAAAAACAGAATTATAAGTTCATATTATTTAAACCTAGTTTTTATCGGAATGTATCATACAAAACAGCTTCATTATAAAATGCAATTTGAATGATGAAGCCTTCGATGGCTATGATGGTTTGTTTTGCAAAACCGATAAGCTTACATCAAACGTCATTGTGAACAGCTGATGACGATCAGTTGTGCAACCCCTGATTACACTTGCTGTTTGTATTGGAACTGATTCAATGGTAGAACATCGAGGGTATTTGATAACAGACTAGATCGTTTATTTAGAATTTAGACTATAAATTATCAGTTTGATAAGAAATCTGACTAAGAATTCAAATACACTGGATCAAGACACATTAAGATCATGACACATTAAGATCAAGACACATTAAGATCAAGACACATTAAGATCATGACACATTAAGATCATGACACATTAAGATCATGACACATAAGGATCATGACACATTAAGATCAAGACACATTAAGATCAAGACACATTAAGATCAAGACACATTAAGATCATGACACATTAAGATCATGACACATTAAGATCAAGATACATTAAGATCATGACACATTAAGATCATGACACATTAAGATCAAGACACATTAAGATCAAGACACATTAAGATCAAGACACATTAAGATCATGACACATTAAGATCATGACACATTAAGATCAAGATACATTAAGATCATGACACATTAAGATCATGACACATTAAGATCAAGACACATTAAGATCAAGACACATTAAGATCAAGACACATTAAGATCAAGACACATTAAGATCATGACACATTAAGATCAAGACACATTAAGATCATGACACATTAAGATCATGACACATTAAAATCATGACATAATAAGATAACATTAAGATCATGACACATTAAGATCATGACACATTAAGATCAAGACACATTAAGATCATGACACATTAAGATCATGACACATTAAAATCATGACACATTCAGATAATGAATACAAAATAAAATGACATCACGGTAAAGATGTTATCGCTAAAGAATGTCTGTAACAGGTTCCAAAATGAGCGATAAAAACTAATGCCTAGATATTTGTACTTGTGAGTTTCTATTATACTTAAAATTTAAAGTACAATGTTTTCATTTTAAAAAAAAAACCTATTTCTACTACTTAAAATTATAATTTATTAAGATACTCGATAAGAAATGTTCAATACAAATTTATGATGTTTTGAAAAAATAAAATCATGACTATGGTGAAACGTGTAGGCCTACATGGAGAGCAACCTCTAACTAAAATATGATATCTTCTCCTCATACTTCTACTGCTACTTTTGTACACTATTTCAAACAACACCGAGGGTACCTAGATGATAAACACGTGATTGCCTATTAAAGACCACCCCTATATACATTATATATATATATATATATATATATATATATATATATATATATATATATATATATATATATATAAACATATATCAGATATTGATAAAATGCATAAAGGAATGTGTATTTGAACCTAACTTATCTCTTGGTGAACATGGTGACATTATTTGAAAACATGAACCAATCGACACCTGATGTAATATATTAAGCCCTATTTTAATTAAACAAAAAAATAGAGGTCGATAGAAAGTTCATCTAACATTTCGATTAGGCGCAGTTAATTTCAATATTTTTGCCTTTATGGCTATATAATTAATCGAGTTATCGATGTTTTCTAGTGTGCAAGGCATACAGTTGCTATACGTCACAACACAAGATTGGTAGTAAGATTTTAAAGTTTGAGGCTGACATGATTGTGGCGTAAATGGTAGTACATTGTGGTAGTATTGTGGTGATATTGTGGTGTTACTGTGCTGGTGTTGTGGTGGTATTGTGGTGGTGTTGTGCTGGTGTTGTGCTGGTATGGTGCTGGTGTTGTGGTGGTGTTGTGGTGGTGTTGTGGTGGTGTTGTGGTGGTGTTGTGGTGGTGTTGTGGTGGTGTTGTGGTGGTATTGTGGTGGTGTTGTGCTGGTGTTGTGGTGGTATTGTGGTGGTGTTGTGGTGATATTGTGGTGGTGTTGTGGTGGTATTGTGCTGGTGTTGTGCTGGTGTTGTGCTGGTGTTGTGCTGGTGTTGTGCTGGTGTTGTGGTGGTGTTGTGGTGGTGTTGTGGTGGTATTGTGCTGGTGTTGTGCTGGTGTTGTGCTGGTGTTGTGGTGGTATTGTGCTGGTGTTGTGGTGGTGTTGTGGTGGTATTGTGCTGGTGTTGTGCTGGTGTTGTGCTGGTGTTGTGCTGGTATTGTGCTGGTGTTGTGGTGGTGTTGTGGTGGTGTTGTGGTGGTGTTGTGGTGGTATTGTGGTGGTGTTGTGCTGGTGTTGTGGTGGTATTGTGGTGGTGTTGTGGTGGTATTGTGCTGGTGTTGTGGTGGTGTTGTGCTGGTGTTGTGCTGGTGTTGTGGTGGTGTTGTGGTGGTATTGTGCTGGTGTTGTGGTGGTGTTGTGGTGGTATTGTGCTGGTGTTGTGGTGGTGTTGTGGTGGTATTGTACTGGTGTTGTGGTGGTGTTGTGGTGGTGTTGTGGTGGTATTGTGGTGGTATTGTGCTGGTGTTGTGGTGGTATTGTGCTGGTATTGTGCTGGTATTGTGCTGGTTTTGTGGTGGTGTTGTGGTGGTGTTGTGGTGGTATTGTGCTGATGTTGTGGTGGTGTTGTGGTGGTGGTGTTGTGGTGGTGTTGTGGTGGTATTGTGCTGATGTTGTGGTGGTGTTGTGGTGGTGTTGTGGTGGTGTTGTGCTGGTGTTGTGGTGGTATTGTGCTGGTGTTGTGGTGGTGTTTTGGTGGTATTGTGCTGGTGTTGTGGTGGTGTTGTGGTGGTATTGTACTGGTGTTGTGGTGGTGTTGTGGTGGTGTTGTGGTGGTATTGTGGTGGTATTGTGCTGGTGTTGTGGTGGTATTGTGCTGGTATTGTGCTGGTTTTGTGGTGGTGTTGTGGTGGTGTTGTGGTGGTATTGTGCTGATGTTGTGGTGGTGTTGTGGTGGTATTGTGCAATCTCATGTACCACTGCCGCGTGTTTTTAAATTGTTTTAAAATAAGTTACAGCTTTACATCAAATACAATGTTCCACAATTTTGGTAATAAAATTCCCTTTTCCAACCTGACGGTCCATGAGGCAAGTGAAGTAGAGTTCACCTGTTGTTTGTGACCATGGCATATGAAGGGGTAATGTGGTCAGCTCTTTGCCCAGCTGCCTTTGCATTCCCTAACATGAGTTAGGTACCCATTATAGATGGGTGGTCTCGGGGGACTTTCTACTGACTTGAACCCGGATTCGAACTCGAGACATTCCGGTTAGCACTCTAACGCTAGGCAACGCCAATTATGGCAGAAAAGGTGTGTGTGTGGGGGGGGGGGGTGTAGTTACACATATTTATATAGTTGTAAACATTAGAGCATCTGACATCAGATTCACCGTGTACAAATGTATAACTGTATAGGGAAAATGTTAATGTTGGACTCTACTTCCCCTATAAGAGCGGGGGCTGAGTTAGTCACCCGAGAAGGATTAATTTTTCATTCATTTCTTCAGCTCAAATTTTTTTTAATTTAATTAAAATTTAAAAAAAAAATAGCTTTTTAATTTCTTATTTATCGAATAGCCTGTTTTAATATCCAATGCTATTGTATTACTAAGGTCGTCTAGTTAAATTTAAATAGCATTTCCTATCGGAAATGTTGGGGTGAGGGGGGGGGGGGGAAAGGAGTGGTTCCTTGATGCGTTTTATACTGTGGTAACCTATGGAAACATTGTATCATTTTTTTCTGTTTAGCAGAGTCGATCAAAACTCGGACATATAAACATCATTCAATCAGTTGAGTCGAGATCAAAGTCAGCTAGTACACTAGAAGGGCCACGTCCTAGTACACTAGACTTGCCATGTCCTTATAGACTGGCCATGTCCTTATAGACTTGCCATGTCCTAGTAGACTGGCCATGTCCTAGTAGACTGGCCATGTCCTAGTAGACTGGCCATGTCCTAGTAGACTGGCCATGTCCTTATAGACTGGCCATGTCCTTGTGACTGGCCATATCTTATAGACTGGCCATGTCCTTATAGACTGGCCATGTCCTTATAGACTGGCCATGTCCTAGTAGACTGGCCATGTCCTTATAGACTGGCCATGTCCTAGTAGACTGGCCATGTCCTAGTAGACTGGCCATGTCCTAGTAGACTGGCCATGTCCTTATAGACTGGCCATGTCCTTGTGACTAGCCATGTCCTAGTAGACTGGCCATGTCCTAGTAGACTGGCCATGTCCTTATAGACTGGCCATGTCCTTATAGACTGGCCATGTCCTTATAGACTGGCCATGTCCTTATAGACTGGCCATGTCCTTGTGACTGGCCATGTCCTTATAGACTGGCCATGTCCTTGTGACTGGCCATGTCCTTATAGACTGGCCATGTCCTTGTGACTGGCCATGTCCTTATAGACTGGCCATGTCCTAGTAGACTGGCCATGTCCTAGTAGACTGGCCATGTCCTTATAGACTGGCCATGTCCTTATAGACTGGCCATGTCCTAGTGACTGGCCATGTCCTTGTGACTGGCCATGTCCTTATAGACTGGCCATGTCCTTATAGACTGGCCATGTCCTTATAGACTGGCCATGTCCTTATAGACTGGCCATGTCCTTGTGACTGGCCATGTCCTTATAGACTGGCCATGTCCTTGTGACTGGCCATGTCATGTCCTTATAGACTGGCCATGTCCTAGTAGACTGGCCATGTCCTAGTAGACTGGCCATGTCCTTATAGACTGGCCATGTCCTTATAGACTGGCCATGTCCTTATAGACTGGCCATGTCCTTATAGACTGGCCATGTCCTTATAGACTGGCCATGTCCTTATAGACTGGCCATGTCCTTATAGACTGGCCATGTCCTTGTGACTGGCCATGTCCTTATAGACTGGCCATGTCCTTGTGACTGGCCATGTCCTTATAGTCTGGCCATGTCCTAGTAGACTGGCCATGTCCTAGTAGACTGGCCATGTCCTTATAGACTGGCCATGTCCTTATAGACTGGCCATGTCCTTATAGACTGGCCATGTCCTTATAGACTGGCCATGTCCTAGTGACTGGCCATGTCCTAGTACACTAGACTGGCCATGTCCTTATAGAATGGCCATGTCCTTGTACTGGTAGTACCTAATATTCACAGGTAAAAAGAAGGTAACACTCACAGGTGAAATTGGTAGCTATTAGGTACCACTTACTTTCTAACAGGTAGATAAGCATGTATCATTGACAGGTAGCGAATCAGGTATCATTCACAGACCTATACCACTCAACATTCGTTAAATACGTACCATGCCAAACCGGAATATGAAAAAACAAAACATGAGAAATAAAAGGGAAAGAACTCACATTTCGAAAAGAGAAAGGTTGCCTCCCCTTGAGACCTCTGTCGTCCTGTAAGCCAATGTTGTAGTTCAGTGTACTTTTTTCAAACACGTTCTTTCGTACAGTCTGGAGATGGTTGGATACAACAAAAGGTTACCTACCATCTCTACCATCACATCCCTACCATCACAGCTAGATTACTGGCCTTGTTACCACACCCCTACCATCACAGCTAGATTACCTTCCTTGTTACCACACCCCTACCATCACAGCTAGATTACCTTCCTTGTTACCACACCCCTACCATCACAGCTAGATTACCTTCCGTGTTACCACATCCCTACCATCACAGCTAGATTACGCCCTTATTATAACATCTCTACCATCGCAGCTAGATTACCGCCATTGTTACCACACCCCTACCATCACAGCTAGATTACTGGCCTTGTTACCACATCCCTACCATCACAGCTAGATTACTGGCCTTGTTACCACATCCCTACCATCACAGCTAGATTACTGGCCTTGTTACCACATCCCTACCATCACAGCTAGATTACTGGCCTTGTTACCACATCCCTACCATCACATGCAAGATAACGCCCTTATTATAACATCTCTACCATCGCAGCTAGATTACCGCCATTGTTACCACACCCCTACCATCACAGCTAGATTACCGCCATTGTTACCACTTCCCTACCAGCACAGCTAGATTACCTTTACCAGTAATGTAAGTATTACCACAGATGTACATAAATAACGAATTAATAATCGCAATTGTCAGTATGGAAATTGCGCTAAAAACATATCGCTAGTCATCAGGGGCGGGGTGTGCCATGATACGGAGAAATGGTTGCTTCAATAGCACCATTAGGGGGGCGGGCTATGGGTTTGCAAGGGTGTGCGAGGGGTAGGAAGTCAGCATGAAATGCAGGCTAAAGCTAACATAAAGACAGAGCATTTCAGGCTTGATATTTCGATGACTAACATTAGCGATATTGTCTTTGATTATTCCATAACATGGCTTAGTGTCTAGATTTGGGTTAGAGCTAGACTTTTTCTTGGCCTGGGTCTAGAGTGTAGTTAGAGTTTATGTGTATGGTTAGAGTTAAGATCAGGAAATGGGCCCCCAATCGCCATCTGTAAACTATTTGTCACATAAGACTTCAGTTAGTCGTGCCCTCAGAAACTTAAATAACTAATTAACTTATTGTTATTTTAGAGTTTCTACACTATCTTAATTCTAATACATGGGTTAAGTCATTTTGAGACACTCTTTAATTAATTAAGGCTTAAAACCAAGTTCAATAATCTGTATTACTAATAGTAATTCTCGCTTTCGAACTTTAGGGTCCATAAGGCAAGTGAAGTAGAGTTCACCTGTTTTTGTAACATGGTCAGCACCATGTTCAGCCGCATTAACTTTTCTAACGTGAGTTAGGTACCCATCAGAGCTGGGTGGGCTCAGGGAAGCTCCACTGACATAAACCAGAGTTTCTTCCAGGCATAAAAATTTTTACCGCCCCCCCCCCCCCCGAACGAAAAGAAATTTATATAATTTATATAGAAAATATATACTTTTAACAGTGTCCGCCCCCCCCCCCCCGAAGAAAGTCTACCGCCCCCCCCCCCCCCCGAAAATTTCAAGTGCCCCCCCCCCCCCCCCCGGAGAAAAAAGTCCGGAAGAAACACTGACTTAAACTCAGATTCGAACTCAAGACTTTCGGGTTAGCTGTCACGTGTCTAACCGGAAGTTTACCCAAATCTACTTCCTAATGTCAACAACAACACCAAATCACCCAATCTATTTCCTAATGTCAACAACAACAACACCAAATCACCCAATCTATTTTCTGTGTCTTCCATAAGGGCTGGAGGACAATACCCGCCACATGTTCGGCTTTCTCTGACGTCATGGCCTGGTCTGGCTATTTCTGTCCCCGCGACGTCGAGTGCAAGAAAGAAATGCACGGCAGAAGGAAGAAACGCTTGGTAGGTGGAATCGATGGCTAGTCCTGGGCCAAGCTTCAACTTCTCTTCCTCGGGTTTCTTGTTTGTTTTTTTTTTTTCTATCGGTGAACGAGCGTCACTCGATGACGTCACTGCCGGTTTCAAGAAAAGCGCGGCTGTATGTGTTTTTTTTAAGCGGGTATCCCCGTTTTTGCCGCGTCGCACTTTTTAATTATAAGCTTTTGTATTGACGCTTGGATAAGGTTGCATAGTAAACGAGAAAGATGATTGGGAGAAGGGGGGGGGGGGGGGAAGATAAAGCATTAACTCAACTCTACTTCCTCTTACTTACGTATCAAAGAATTAACTCAACTCTACTTCTCTTTTATTTATCGCCGGCAGTGTTTCTTTTATCTCCGGGGGGGGGGGGGGGGGGGGGGCACTTAAAATTTTTCGGGGGGGGGGGGGGCGGTCAACATTTTCCAGGGGGGGGGGGGCGGACGCTGGTAAATGTGTATATTTTCTATATAAATGCTATTTTGTTCGGGGGGGAGGGTGGGGGTAGACTTTCTTCGGGGGAACGGAGCCCCCCCCTTCCCCCCTCCCCCCAAGAGATGCCTGGGAGAAACTCTGATCGCCGGGTCTAAAAATGGTCTTTTAATTTTTAGCTTGGACGGCGATACTAAGATTTATTGGGGTGGTATTATTTAGTGGTATTAATCTATATCTTAAATGTCGTGTAAGTTGTTTCATGTAGTGTTGGAGCTGTAAGGACTGACTGCTGTCTCAAGTGGCTGTGTTATCAATGATAACACGTGTGTGTAGGAACACACTAGAACACAATATCAGACCCACACACTACACGCCAATCAACAACGCATTCTTTCCTCGGATAACGTTTTATCAATGTTTGAATTAAGACCCAAGGGAAGTAATCCATGAATTATTAAAGCCGTCGGTATTTTCGCAGTCGTTTCCCTTTGGATGCGAACAAAAAAAAAAGGTGCCGTGCTAATTATCATTCTATTTTAAAACCTAAGGGAAGTAATCCATGAACTACTAAAGCCGTCGGTATTTTTGCAGTCATTTCCCTTTGTATGTGAACCAAAAAAAGATGCCGTGCTTATTAATTAGCATCTCGTATTTTAATCACCAAAACTCATTGTTCACAACTAACGGTTCATGCACCATCCTCAGGGTTACTACATGGTACTCGCGACCTTGAAGGCCTCAACTCGCGTGTCACGGCCGTCAAGGTCACTGCTTTGTTTATCGTAATAATCTATATTAAGAAATAATTAAAAAGCTTGAACTAAGCATTAGCATCAAGAAACGATATGCATTAACAACATAATCGTCAAAATATAAAATATTCGACTACGCCTTCAGTATCGCTTGACTCAAGTTCATGATCAACTGTCTATAGAGTTTGATAAATTTTTTTATTAATAAAATAAAAGAAGAAAAACAACTTCTCCACAATTATTACTGCTTTATGACCCAAATATCGAACAAACGCGTCTGCTATCAACACATCTCACGGTCCCGTCTGCTTTATTAAACCCCTCATAAGCCGACCCATTCGCCCTTTGATCCCTCACCGTAGTCTTAGATCGCCAAGGTAGACAAATCATCCTCGGCCGCTCGGATTTTTCCTAGAGTGACGGCCCCTGGATGCGCATCAAGGCGTTCATCTACCCCGGCCGGGTGTATCGTGTAGGCCCAGACCACCCACATCCGGGGTTTAATGGTGCCGGGGTAAGAAGTGATCCCCCGGCTCGGCTAAGTAGATCATAGGATTGACGGGCATCTAACGAGATTAGCGGCGACGTGTGTCTGAGATCAGAGGGGGGGGGGGGGGGGGTTGTGAAAATGTTGGTCTGTATTAATGTTGTTGGTCAGTCCAGAACTTGGTCCATTATTAAACTTGGTCGCTCAAGAAAATTGGACATTTTATGTCATGTCAATATAATGTTTCTCCCGGCTCGATTTATAACATTACCCCCCCCACCCCCCAATCCCCAACCCCACACCCTGAATATGAATGTATCCAAGTTTATACAACATGCTCTCATGTTAACATTTCCTAATGTTTCTTGGTATCTATCAGCGAATCTCAGGAGGGACATGCTGGATTAACCAGACCCATCGCCCCCCCCCCCCCCCCCCGACATCTTAGACCTTGTTAAAACCACACCCTGCTCGCAAAGCTAAAGACATGAAAAGCTGGTTCCAAATTTTTGTTGCCAGAGAGCACTTTTTTCAACCAAAATTGAATATTTCATAACATTTATGTAATAAGTACAAAATTACGGTTTTATTAAGGCAAGAAATAGTCGAACAAATAATACTACTATTATAAAAGTAATTTAGCAAACAATTTTATTTTTAATCTGGATTAGTAGAGTCCGGGTGTTGTGGTTATTGGGGATGTTATATTACTTAATATAAATACAATACTACGCTATAAACCATAGATCACTATTATCTATTTTTATCATGGAAAACAATTGTTCTAACTTTATATTGTTTTACTCTCCCTGGCAATTCCGGTAGACTTCAATGAGAGGTTGAGGGCGGTTTTTGAAAATATTTGAATTGATAAAATAATTCTAAACGGCTTTTCAACGGCTTATTTAATACAATATATATATATATATATATATATATATATATATATATATATATATATATATATATATATATATATATATACGGATTTAGTTTTTTTTTAATGTAACTTTTATTTTATCTCTTGTCATATTTTTTTTTTCAAAAATTTAGTATGACTACATAGACTTTTCAAGACTGTTAAAAACTGAATTGCAAGTTGTCAATCGGCTAACGTTATGGACAGATGAGACTCATTATATGGGGACATACACCCATCTAGGAGAGAAAACTACAAAATCAAACAACTGCTGACTTTAATTTCATTTTGGATGGATAAAGGCTATGGAAGCAAATCCAAAAAGAAAAACAGGCTGAAATCAACGGCCAATATGGCGCATAACCCATTGACACACAATACTTAATTGTGTTAGAGTATAATCCCTTCAATTGTTCAATTAAGAACGAAGAAGAAGAAACAAAACAAAAGCTTTAAAAACTCATTTAAACAGTTTTATCAACGATTTAAAATATATTTCGGGCGTTTATTTTATTTTTATTTTGCATTTATTAGCTACATAGTTCTTTCAACTTGTTATCGAATAAAACCGAATGTGTTCTTATATAGCTTTTTTTCTAATACCCTTGTTTGTTTATAATTATAAAGATCAAGATGATAAAATGGCCACTGTGTCTACCATTGTTAGGTTTTGTTTTGTTTTTTTTAACTATTAAAAATATTGCTATTTCTAACACTCGCTAATTTTTTTTTTAAATTCGCCCGCGTCGCTTTCTTTCTGAAAGTTGGCAGCGATTAAAATAGCCACCGCTTTTAAGCTATGCTTATTTCTTGAAAGCAGCTAGCAGTTTTATACAGATATTCGAAGTTTCCAGAATGTCTGGATGGACGGTTTTACCCAAAGGTCTACGGTCTACCCCCCAACCTAATTCACATCGGAATTTTCTTTTTTTAAACTGTGGGAAAACCCGATGTTAAGTTTAGCCTAACATTCACCCTAATCCCCACCCATTGACGCGGGGGGAGGGCGAGGGGGTCAGCGAGGGACCCGCTTAAGCCATCCGGGTCTGTACCGTGACCCGCTAAATGACCCGTTAAACCCAGGCTTGACCAGGGAACAACTGTTTCATTCTGTCCGGCTATTTTGTCTGTTTATTTTATCCGCATCAACCGGGCCGGGCGATGACCGGGTGTAAAGTGGTTTGAACGGAGCACGCGCCCATACACGGCGCCCTGACAATAGGGCGCCATGGAGGGCATAATCGGGTACCTCCAGCTACGGGTGCCACTAGCAACGGGTGCCACTAGAAACGGGTGCCACTAACGTTGGACGCCGTCATTATTGGGCGCGGGTACAGCGAAGAAGAACGCTGGCCGTCATCGTTTTGTGCCTTCACATTAGGGCGCCATCACAGAGATGCTGTTAGAATTGGATGTCGTAAAAATCGGGTGCCTTAATGATCGGATGCCGTAAGAATCGGGTACCGTAACAGTCGGGTACCGTAAGAATCGGGTACTATAACAGTCGGGAACCTAACTACCGGGTACCGTAACTACCGGGTACCGTAACAGTCGGGTACCGTAACAGTCGGGTACCGTAAGAATCGGGCGCCCTAAGACCCGAATGCCGATCTTATGCCCGCTTACCAACAGCCTAAACCAGGGGTCTCCAAACTACGGCCCGCGGGCCGGATGCGGCCCTCGAGGTCCTCTCATCCGGCCCGCGGATATCTTTTTGTCCACGGAAAAAACGTTTGTTGGTGATGGCTGAGGAACTTTGACCAGAAAAATCAAAGATATGCCCGGAAGAAACTGGCCCCCGAACTGAAATTTAATAGTTAATGCGGCCCTCGGACTGAAAAGTTTGGAGACCCCTGGTCTAAACCTACGGCTCATCAACTGGCGCCAATTATTTTTAAAGAAAGTTGTTGTACAATAAAAACAAATTAAAATGACATAGGTTTCCGAAACTATTATCTGACAACCATTGTGTTCTAGCTAGCTGGGACGTCCTCATATTTAGTTCTAGCTAGCTGAGACATCACATATGTTTTCTATCTACCTGGGACGTACACATGTTTTCTACCTACCTGGGACGTACACATATGTTTTCTACCTACCTGGGACGTACACAGATTTTGTTCTACCTACCTGGGACGTACACTCATAAATTTTGTTCTACCTACCTGGGACGTACACATATGTTTTCTACCTACCTGGGACGTACACATATGTTTTCTACCTACCTGGGACGTACACATATGTTTTCTACCTACCTGGGACGTACACTCTAAAATTTTGTTCTTCCTACCTGGGACGTACACATATGTTTTCTACCTACCTGGGACGTACACATATGTTTTCTACCTACCTGGGACGTACACTCTAAAATTTTGTTCTTCCTACCTGGGACGTACACATATTTTGTTCTAGCTACCTGGGACGTACACAGATTTTGTTCTACCTACCTGGGACGTACACAGATTTTGTTCTACCTACCTGGGACGTACACAGATTTTGTTCT